AACTATTGGCAGCTGCGTTCTTGTTACCATTTGTTATCAGGACAGAACGCATAGTTGAATTGTTAGCTCAGTATAGACGGCAGAGCTTGAATTTCATTCGCCCTGCTCCTCAAAACCGGTTCCTTCCCTGTCCACTTCAGATTCGTAATTTCTACTAATCTTGCGCTTCCTGACGGTCAACGAAGTTTGCTGCCCTGTATTTCGCCATACAACGGGGATGTTAACAGTATGAAGTCCCGAAGGCATCCACATTATTTTGACCCGGAGGAAAGCGAAACTGTCTTCAACTCGATATCACCTATTCGGGGATGCTTTATTTTGGTCATTGCCTGGACCCAAGTTTCCGGTTTCTATCATCAGACGATAGATCTCGGAAAATGCGAGGTTCACTATTCTCAGCGCCTATTTCCCTAAAGTTTATAGTTAAAATAGTGATAAAAATGCTTTCTATATGATTTACGACCAGGAGAATACACCAGGACATTTTTCAAGACGGAGCAAGATAGACTAGGCACTCGGCTATGATTGGGGTTCGTTCACTGTTCACGTATAGTTTGTTCCGTCTTTAGGACCTTCTAGATATTACCTTCCCCCTGGTGCTCAGTTGTCGATGCTCCTCCTTGTTAATTGATGAGATATCAAAGATCAGTTAACAGTTGAACATGGGGTTGTCGTTTTACTCATTGAGTGTGAATGTTCTCCCGATCGGTATCATATACCCATACGCAAGCATTGTTTGCAATTCGTTCTCATAACCTACGTTTTTATGATGTTAAAGGCTCGTTTCGGTACGTGTCCTTGGGTTGTTTTCATGTTTAGTCGTTTGATTGGTGACACGAAGTAGGTTAAGCAACATCCCGTTTACTTTCATTTCCCCTCGTTCTGTGCCCTGAAGGCCACAATCACCCTTCGACTACCGCGCCCTCCGGATATCGGTGACAAGTATAGCAGTCGGCACGGTCAGAAAGGAATCAACAGTTTGCTCGTGCCTAGCGAAGAGATGCCATGGACCGTGACGAGCGGTATCGTACCGGATTTGATTTTCAACCCGCACGGTTTCCCCACCCGTATGACGATGGGCATGATGATTGAATTTCTGGCTGGCAAATCAGCTGCACTTACAGGTACATGCTTACACATTGTGTATGCATCCACTCATAATAGAAGAGTTTCTGACCAAGTGGGGGTTTCCTTGTTGTTGTTACCGTTGTTATCACGGCTACTTAGATTTTTGGCCTACCCTATGCAACGTTTAATCTTCGTCTTATTTCTCATCGTACCTGTCGCGAGCATTGCGTCGCTAGTGGGCTTCTCTTCATAATGTTTTTTTCATGCTAAAGTGGTAGTTGTCCGCCAACTTTTATAAGTAATCCTGATGCGGTTCTCGGTTATCCGTGGGTCACTTTGTTTATCTCACCTAGTCAAAAACATTTTACCTTCTCCCATGAAGTAAACGCTAATTTACTGCTTCTCATGTAAGGGTAATGATTGTATTAAATGCGAAATGAATCGTCACAATCTTCTTCGAAAATCAAATTATATGCATTGCACCCAAACGTCTGTGATCTGGTTCAAGACGACACTCAATCCAGTACTACCCCTTCTACAAAAACACGAAATATATTTACTCCACGCGGCTGTTCGCCCCTAGGAGGGGCGGACGTTTTGTCCTATTCGCTGTCTAATTTCCCCGCTTTTCGGTCTTTTCACCGCTTCATTTTTCCCTCGTAACTGTTTTCCGTGCTCTCAGGCAAACGAGTAGACGCTACTTCGTTTCAATGGACCGAAGACAATCCACCTTTCACTGATTACTGTGAAGAATTGGCCAAACACGGGTTCAACTACTGGGGTACTGAAATGATGATGTCCGGCTGTAACGGACGTCAATTAGAGGCGCACATCTACATCGGTGTGGTGTACTATCAGCGTCTGCGACACATGGTCGCTGATAAATACCAAGTGAGTGCATCCTAACTCGAATGTTTGATCATAAATGAACATCAGTTTTGGGAAATATCCTTAAAATCATCCAGTTTGTGACATTTAGGTGGTAACCATAAGAGTTCACATCATTCCTTCCTCGTTTATTAGCGTATTTACTTCCTGCCCATTGTACACGTTTATGATTAGTTCGTATGCAATGTGGGTTTGTGGCAGATTAGCGAACTGCACTGAGCTGTAATGATTGTAATATGAATCTTCTTCCAGTTCCAGCTTTTAAAAGTAAATGAGTAGTTGCATTAGGGCGTGTCAGCTTGACAAAAGTATTCTCTTGTTATGTAAATAGTGTGCCCATACGCGAGGGATATGTGTAAAAAGATTGTTTTTAGTGGCCTAAGCTATTCGTGCTTCACATCGTTTTTTATTGCAAAGTTTGCTTAACGGAGACAGAAACCTACTGCACGACTATGGAGATTGGAAATATTATTCTCGGGGCTGGAACTAGCGAACTTTGTAAGGCCCGATCAATATAAGCGTACTATTAAACTAAAAAGGCCTGCGACTCAAGTCTGTTGGTGGTGTGTGGGTTCGAACTGGGAACCATAGGCTCCGATACACGTTGGTGAGTGACTTTATTTGCTTGATCATTATCACCACCGCCGTTGAAATCTGTTAGTGTATCGTCGGTCGAGTATTCAGTTCCTTCCCAAATACCGAATGGTAACATTAAATTGTCAGGTTTGAGAAGTCATCCGATCATTGTAGTCACCACGAAGTTTAAATTCATTGTTGAGTGGTATGTAATCTATTTTCGCAACACTCGCTGACTTGTGTTTGTTTTCTGTCACATGCTTTAATCCTTTGTTGATAAAAAGATGAATGATGATTGAAAGCAACCAGTCCACTATATGAGAGACATAACTACTTCTAGTCGTCGTGCCTGATCGTAATTTTGATCTCATAACACACTTACCCAATTTCTAGATAGCCATCATCACAGATTGTGCCGAGTTACACCCTACTCGCTTTTTTGTCTTATTGACTCAACGTTTGATCATTGTTTATCACCCCGCTGTTTGGTTCACATTGGGCTTCTCACTTTCCTCTTATTCGCCTTTCTATTTGGTTTTCTTTAGCACCCTTATCGATGGTGTCGCACATATCTGTGCCTAGTGCTTGTACACTTGAACTTCCGTGTTTCCGTTTTTCACTTGATTTTTTATCTCCATGATAGATGAGCGCTGTTTTTGTGGATTTACTTTTTCTGTACTTCGCTTTCCCTCACAGGTCCGAGCTCAAGGCCGATTCGATCCTATTTTACGTCAGCCCATCAAAGGTCGTAAACTGGGTGGTGGTATCCGTTTGGGTGAGATGGAACGTGATTGTTTGCTATCTCAGGGTTTGACCTTCACACTACAAGATCGAATGGTAGACTCGAATTGCGATTCAGTAACGGTGAGCTCAATTCAGCTATAATTCCTTCGACCCCCCTGATCCTATCTGTGCGTATCACTGTGCGTATCATGTTGAGAACGTGCTTATTGGCTCACTGTGTTCTCTGCTTTTGATCCACACTTTTCCATAACCTAATTCAATTCTGACTTTAATTGTTGCTTTTGCCGGGGATCCCTGGATTAGAATGGATGAAAGAAGAAGATTTTGTTTTCTTTTTATTCATTCTGTTGCGTCATCATCACCACCATATCAAATGATATTTACTTCGACCATCATCGTCTCTTTTTAAGCATCAATCAACGGACAGACACAATACTTCTGATCTTTCTAATTCTGATTGCTCACCATCTCTTTAGAAACGAACGGTTTTTTCAATTTTTGCTTTTTATTTATTTGTAATTATAATCACGAACCAGAATTATTCATCTCTCCGACCTTTCAGATGCTCGCCTGCTCCAAATGTGGCAGCTTGTTGCACGCGGATCTATCACGGAATGTTGTGAGTGACTCCGACGGGAGTCTGACTCTATTGGGCAAGGGTTCTGCTTGGCATTCTGAACCGAACTCGGGACCGTTCGATCGAACCTATTGGAGTTGTCGTTTGTGTGACCGCTCCGAGGAGGGCACTTCCAATCCTGAGCTAACCGGTGCTAATAAGTCTCATTTGAAGCGTGTCAAAGTGCCTGCATCGTTCCGCTATTTAACTTATGAATTGGCTTGTTTGAATGTACAAACCCAGTTAGCTGTTGGCGAATTAGTTTAGACTATTTTTGATCCTGTAAATACAGATATCCTACCGACGCCGTTTGATTCATCTTTTTTTCTTAATTGCGTTGCATGTTTCACTGATGAGTCCCTGGTTCACCTACTGCGCACTGTTGCCCCCCCGCCTCCCTTGAGTTCTGTTTCCAACTCATCTGCCAACTTTCACTTCACACAGGTCCTAATTCACTCCTTTATCCGTGGAGTGACAACAAATTCCAACATCGGTTAGATCAAACGTTGTTATGACATTTCCGTTTCTGAAATGGAAAGTTGAAGCAAGACAGTCAGGATTTTCAAAGTATTGGTCACTGAAAAAGACTGAAGTTCACAGTACAATCGATCTGATCATTCCATCATACAGTGATGTGCGGGGACAGGATGGTTTTGAAGAAACAAAAACCTGTCATTGCTGGTTGATTAAGTCAATAAATAGTTAGCAACACTGGAGTTGGGTAAAGGGGCTCTTTTTTGTGTGGAGCTGAATGTAGGTAAACGAAAAATGTGGTCGAGAAACACTGTAGAACCAACTATTTTGTGATCAAATGAGCATCGAATGAAATATCTATTTGTTAGTCCCTCCCCCCTCTTGATCAAGCCTGAGAGAGAAACAGCGGAAAGTACTTTTCACTATTTTTTTATATTGGCTGCAGAGCTGATTCACATTGAATTATTTGCTTCGATCTCAAATCATTCTCTCTCACGGACAGTGTTTCTGTCGAAAATGGTTTTCCATTAAACATCTGGCTGTCGTCTGTTTTTTGCACTGCAAAATCCAACTGATCAGAAGGAGTGACGGTTATTATGTGAATTCAAGGCGAAGTTATTTCACACCGTTTTGTTCTACTATTCCGGGATCGATTCCATACGAATACTGGGTCTGCGATTTACCTTTTCCTTATTCAAAAACATGTCTGGATCGGTATGACGGATCACGTTAATTAGGAATGCATAGCGCCGTATTTCCGGGGTGATTTCTGTCGAGGTAACACCTACAAATGGAATACAAGTTTATTACAGGTGGTGTACACATAACAGTTCCATTGTGAATGTGACCAAATAACTGATAAACTAATAGCTGATCGTTAGAATTTTATTATTCGCTCGCACTAAGTATTTTACCTGAGTGTTTGTCTTCTATTTCTGCCAAACGAACTTGATTTCCAAGCAAACCTTTCCTTACCGTGGACTGTTATTAAAGTGGGCCGAGTTGTTTTTTCGGGATTGTGTCTTACGCCGTAATCGAGTTTACCTGTTTATAGTTCTTGATAGATGATTGACTGCTGGAATTCAACGGATGAATTTGAGGAGAACTCAGTTTTGAGTTCTGCAGACAACTTGGCAGAAACTCATGATGGTCATACCTCTTAGTTATCGGTCCTTACAATCACTCGTTTTTTTGCATCGAACATATGAAGAATAAGGCGGGCGCAACATCACAGGGGAAAACTTTCTTTACTTCAGAAAGATTCAATTAATCGGAACCCATTCGGTAGATTGGGTACTCGGATTTTCAGTGGCTTATTGTTTGCTAGAGCCTTTGTGGCCGGTGGGCTTGATAATCGCCCAGTCAGATTGAATGGAGAAGCAGAATTCATCTTATTGGGTGCATGAAGCTATTCCGTCCAATCCGAGTCGCAGCAGAAAAGAGGCAGACATTGGAACCACTAGCGCAGCACCACAGGTCAACTTATTAAGGGAATTGAGCAAAAAACGCAAAGGTGGGTTGAACACTTCGACGGGCTGCTCAACTGATCATCAAACCAATGTGGCTCTCTACAGGTGTCAAGCAGTTCGGAGACCTACGACATCAATTGGGATCCACCTATTACGACAGAAATCAATGCAGTCACTTCTCTGAAAAAAGGAGGGCCCCGGGAAAAGACGGGATACCACCAGCGTTATTCAAAGCTTGCTTACCAACTCTGATCGATCTGCTGCACTCTTTTCCATATCATTTGGAAAAGAAGTTTTTCCAAAAGACTGGACGGCTTCAACTTTAGTTCCAGTTCCAAAAAAGGTGACAGATCTAGCTACGAAAACTACAGGGGTATTTATTAGCCTCATTGATATTGTGGCCAATTTGTTTGCAGTGATACTGCTTAATCGCCTCAGCCGTTAGAGATACCCACACTCACCTGAACCAAGGGGGTTTCCCCGCGGAAGCGGCTGTGTTGAACAAATCTTCACTCTCCTTAGGATTCTGTTACACCTCGACAAGTTCCAACAACTTACCACTGCATGTCTCATTGACTTCCGCGCTGCGTTTGACTCTGTCGATGGCGAATCCTTGTGGTGCATATTGCGGTCCGACGGGATGCCTGAGAAGTTCATCAAGTTTTTAAAGNCGTCCGTACCAGTAGAGAACAATTGGCTGAGTTTATCCTAAGCCCTGGAGTTAGGCAAGGTTGTCTCCTATCACCGGTGTTATTCAATTACACCGTAGATTGGATAATGCGACAAACATTCATCGACTACCCTGGAGTGCAGCTTGGCCCAGGTACATGGATTGCGGACCTCGAGTTTGCGGATGATGTCGTTGTACTTCGAAACAGCATAGACAACCTCCAGCCTGTTGTCATTCGTATAAATCAGTTAACGCAGTTTATTGGGCATGAGATNATGAGATCAAAACGTCGAAAACGAAGACATTTTCGACCGAAACGTCTACCATGACACAACCACTGTCGATTAACGGGGAGCTTGTCAAATCAACCGAAGTTTTCAAGAATCTTGGCTCTGCGTAAGACCAAACGATCAGGCTAAGGATGAAATCTAACTCCGTGTAGGTGTAGCCAGAAGAGACTTCCTACAACTCAAACCGTTGTGGAATCGAGGCGAAATAAGCTCAAACACAAAGCTTCGGGTTTTATCAAGCTTCCATCCACCCTATTCCCATTTATAGTTGTGAAACCTCGCCGCTAAAAGTACAAGATACAAAGAAGCTCGAAGTCTTTGATCATTGTTCCCCACACCGCATTTTGAAAGTAAATTGGAGAGATCGGATTTCCAACGATGAGGTTCAACGGCGCTGTTTGAACATTGACAAGCTTTCAAAAATGCTACAACGCCGGCGCCTTCAGTGGTTTAGCCATGTATTCCGAAGGCCCGACACTCAACTGTCGCGACTGTGTCGTAGATAGCGTTGCCGACTCGGTGGTCAACTAAAAACCTGGACTAGTACGATCAAGGCGGATTTGGAATTACTGGACTTCCAATCCACGTATAGAATTCGTAACTGGAACGAGAACTGGGTTTTACATTGCCTCAATCTTGCTGTTGATCGTCATGCATGGGCCGCAATCATTAGAGACATCCAAGAAGCCGACCTGTCCTCCCGCAGGAGTAAGTCGATGAAAAATAAAGTGTATAAAGCTTGACTTGACTTGAATTGAATGAAGATTGAAATTTGGAGAGCAGTCACAGAGGAGATAGAGAATTCATATAGATTGGTGTTAAGAGAATAATTATTGGATGCACGAGCGCCGCTGTTCGCTACACTCAGCCAGATCACTCAAGGTCTCGAACGACCGGCTACCATGATCCCGGAGTCCCGATCCAGGGAGTTTAATGAGATCCATACAACCGAGTTTCCTGTTTGTGGTTTTTATGCCTCCATGTCAAGTTTTCGTTTTAATCGCCCTAGATCTTTTTCATCCGTTGCCTGCTTCAGTAGACATCACACGTCTTGGCAGTGTATTTGGTTAAACGTTCAAATGTGTCTTTGGGCCGCCCATTTGGATGAACATCAGGAGAAAAAACAGGGAAGATTGAAAGTAGGGTCAAGAAGAAAACTAGGAATTTCATTGAATGAATGTTGCGGAGAAATTGACAAGGTGCACGAACCACTGTTTAGGACACTCAGCCATATCACTCAGTGTCTCTAACCATCGGGTACTATCATCCTGAAGCCCCAACCCCAGTAGTCTAACGGGACATTTGTGACCCAGACTCCGGTTTAAGGTGTTCGTATCCTCCTGCCAGGTCTTAACTTGACCACAATTGGTTTTCTTTCACCCACTACCTGCCTCGGTGAACATCGCTCGCTGTGGCAACCTATTTGGTGACATGCGCAACACATGTCCCAACCAACGTAATTTGTGTAGATCGACCGCTTGTCCCAGTGGGCTACCGCGATTACCGAAAACTTCGCCTAACATCAGCATTGCTCGTCCGGCTACCCCACCAGATTCGTGCAATCTTGCGTAAACAGTTGTGTTCAAACACGGACGGTCTATCTTTATCCTGTTTCCTTAATGGTCTAGTTTCTGCATCGTATAGCAGAACTGGACAAACGGCTTCGGCCAACACTAGACCCCCGGATGTCGCGCCGGCGCTACAGATATCTGAGCTTGATGAATGCCAACCGAACCTTCTGTATGCGACCCTACACTTCATCCCTGATGCGTCCACCGGGTGAGATGTGGCTGTCCAAATAACAAAACGTATCCACTTGCTCTATTATTTTCCCAGTTGGAATGAGGCTGGGTGCTGTACCAACCCTGTCTTGAAGTAACGTTTTACACTTTAAAGGTGCAAAACGCATACCAATGCTGCTGTCTACGCCTAATTGCACGAGTCGGGTAGGGAAAGCAAACGAGCAATGCTGAGGTTAGGCGCAGTGTTAAGCAATCACGGTGTACCTGTATAACGTGCGAAGTGTGTCTCGATCCTCAGAGTGGCATTGTATCGAGTTAGAGCCTATGATCACCTTTCCCGACCGTTTGCAGTCTCCAATGGCGTTCGATCAGGATGATCTTTATTCCCATTCCTCTTCAACTTTACCATAGAGGATGTTCTACAGGACACTTCCTCTGGTCTAGCAAGCAGTGGTGTCGAATTGCTGCCAGGTAAGAGTTCTTGACCTAGCATATTCCGATGATATCGTCTTGTTGAGTGACGATTCGCAGACAATGTAACACGCTTCGAAGCGTTTGCCGATCGAGGTATGTATGTGGTATATGCTTTGCACCATGCAAGTGCAAAGTACTTATTCAAGAC